TTAACTGGATTAAAAAAAGAATTAGAGAAGTTCATGAAGGGTATGTCCAATCAATGGCTATTAGCCAAGATGGTCAGGGATACAACCCCATGTTGTGGGTGTCCGTAAACCTCTGACAGCCAGAAGTGGGAGTGGTCAAAAAGGGATGGAATCACTAGATAATTGCCCTGTTCTGTTCATTCCTTCTGAAGCATCTGGGCATTGGCCACTGTTAAAAGATGGGATAGAGGACTAGATCGATTATTGGTCTGACCCAGTGTGGTCATTCTGATGTTTTCTTGTCTAAGCTTTTGTGTATCCAGATTGGGTAGTTAGACACGCCAGATTTGTGCAGACAAATATGGTTTTTATATATGCAAGTTTAGTCATGAAAATTCATGTGTAAAATTTCAGGTAAGTCTTTAGAATATATTTTAGAAAGTTTGTCCCACAAAGCATTAATTATAGCTAGTCGTGTTAAAAATCATGTGGATATATTTAAATTTGTAGATCCATAATCTATGCGTTGTGTCCACTAATGAAGTGGGATTGTATTTCAAGAGGAATTATATGTTGGCTTTCTCTTATCTGAAAGATATTTTCAATACCAAATCAATAACTGATTCAACATAGTTGTTAATAGCTTTTATCCTGAGGCAATTTTTAGTTTGAGGTTTATAATTCAATTTAAGCATCGTACACAATGAGCACTCTGGGGCCATGTCATTATGGCCCATTGGTTCACAACTCTGTGGCCAACCATATGCTACTTAGTTGGTAATATTTTGAACATTCCTAAAACAGTTGGGTTTGGAAAACTTAGAATACATTTTATTTGTGCATCTTTTAACTTTAGATTAAATAATCTGAAATATTATTGTTCTGCAAAAAGAAGAACAGGAGTACTTGTGGCACCTTAGAGACTAACAAATTTATTAGAGCATAAGCTTTCGTGGACTACAGCCCACTTCTTCGGATGCATATAGAATGTAACATATAGATTCAATCAACTCCGGTTTGAATAAGGACTGGGAATGGCTGAGCCATTACAAACATTGAATCTATCTCCCCTT